TTTGCCATGTCATCTTGAGTTGAAGTATGACCCAAGAAATTTCCTGGTAATTCTCTTTCTTTCCTCAATTGTCACAGGTGTTTCTCCAACTCTGGTTCGTAGGGTATCACTTTCTTTGAAGAAGATCGAGTCATACACCAGAGAAATCAAACATATATCCTGCACACAAATGAGAAAACGTAAATATACTACAGTAAAGTTGGTTCCCAAATTGGTACTTAAAACTATTTTAAGCACTATTGATTGCCAATCCCCGACAACGGCCCCAAAATTTGACGAGCGCAAAACACAACACAAAATTAATGCTCGCTAGCCAAAGATAGTATAGTAAAATTATCGTCTCTACGGGGATTGAATTTAAATAATGTTTGAATAATCTTCAATTGATTACTATCCAGGAAAATTAGCACTTGATTTGATGACTATTACTACGATTAACTACTAAAAGTGAAGAAATGAACAATTGATCACAAAAGACAGGCGATGAGAAACGAAGAAATATTAATGAGAGCAATAAGGGTTATTGACTAGATAGGTGCAAGATAATTGACTCAGGATCCAATTCTTGAGTTAATTCACTCTACAATACGGTTGATTCTCAGGAATTCAACCGATAATCAGATTACACTTGAAATTAATGTTCCTCTTTCGATTAAATGTTAATTTCAGTAATTAATTCAATTGAAGCACGGTAAACAATTGCAACAATAAAATGATGGTTGTGATCTAAAGGGTAACTTCTTACGAATATTTCCCTATTTTCTAGTTCGATTAACAATTCAAGAGGCTCTTTCGATTACCTATTTGAATCATGAATTTAAACTAGAGCATAAGATGTAAAGAAATTCAATATAAAGCTCCTCTTTAGATTAAGCAAAATAAGAAATAACCCCACAATACAAATTAAAATTCCATCAATTAATTCTAACAATTATCAAGAATCGAATCCCTAATCAAGTTATCAAAACATTGTATCTGTCAATACCATAATAGAAATTACTCCATAGTAATGGAGTAAAACATCTCAATAAGGTTCAAAAACAAAGAAAACTTCAATATTAATGATTCGATACAAACTCCCGTATTGCACCGATTGTTGGTTGAAATCTTGATGAATTCTTGAGTCTTCTTGCCTTGGTTGGTTCTCGAATCTTTCGTAGGTCAAAAGTCCTCCAAAAAACGTGTTTTCAGTATATTTATACCAAGTAGGAACGAACCTAGACGAAACTACCCTCTTTGAGCCGAAGTAGGAAAACCTGCAAACCTTTTACACTTCATGCGTCGCACGATGCGTCGCAGAATGCGTCCCATCAGTGTAGTTTACTCAATTGCAAACTCTCTAAACTCCGCGTGTCTGACAAAAATTTTCATTAGTGCGTCACACCATGCGTCGCAGGCCGCGTCGCAGCAGTGCATTTTCTTGTCAGACCAAAGAAACCCGGTCTCTGAACTTGTCAAATTTCAGAAGCATATTTGCTCTAATGTGTCACACGCTGCTACGCTTAGTGTGTCGCATTAGTACAGTTATTCTGGCCCTTCCACTTTCTTCCCACTTTCGTATGCAACGCATGTCAAGCGCCCCGGATGCGATCTCGGCTTTTACTCAGACTTCAAAGCACCAATTAATTGATTTAGCTCTAATTTACCATTTTAACTCGGAATCATTTCCTGCAAGGCATAAAACGCGTAATAAGTACAAATTACCATTATTTAAGCTCAAACACACGTAAAATACAGTAATTTAGAGTGTAAACTACGGCTAAAACACAGGTTTCTAGCCTACCATCAGAACTCCTTATTTATAGTTGTTCCTAGGGAACAAGGTCCTAGGATCAAGTCCCTCTTAAATGACAATTATGGGGGCCACTGAAGAATGTGTAACGGCAGGCTATGAATGACATATTCTTTGTAACGGGCTACGTACTTAATGCTATAGAATATTCTTCATTAAATGTCACCGGTGGCAGGCATTTATTTTATCTTTATGAGCAACATTCCCTTCGGGTACAAACGAGATTGCTGCCCTCGGACTTGATTGTCATTTGTGTCGTTTTCCATCTGTCTTCGGCTCCACGTGTCGCTTTATTATGCGAGCATTTAATATGAACATATTTTACCCTATACAAAAATATCATAGAAATCGTGTTTGATCATCCTTATCGATGGCATAAATCATTTCTCCTGTTTGGTGTGAAATATTTTCCTCTAAGAAAATAATTTCTTCAATTAAATCAACTATACATGCACCGTACGTGGAATAACTTTAGAAAGAAATTTTATAAAATATTTGACTACCTATCGGAATCTTAGGGCATGTTTGGCCATAAAAGAAATTTCACCTATTTCGAGAAAAAAAATCTCTTTTTTCAGAATCAGGCCATGAAATTTTCAATTTTCACTTGAAGATGAATTTCGAAATTTTTTGAAAATTTGAAAACCCCCAAAAAACTGATTTTTAAAATTTTCACTTCGGATCACTCACAAAGTTTCAAAAACAGCCCAAAATTATATTCATGTTCAAACACAACTCTAATTTTTAAATACTATTTTCACTTGAAAAAAAATTCACGTTCTTTTGGAAATTTTACAATTCTTATGTCCAAATGCCCACTTATTTTAGAACACCTGTTCAATGCAAATTCATTCTCTAGTTTTAGTTTTTTTTTCCTTCATAATTTTCTTCTTTTAATTTATTCATTGGTGCTTTATCGAGTCAAATATTATGAACTAAACATAGTTGCTGCAATAATTACCAAATTTCCCACTGGGCAGAAGTGGAATGGTCCTACTGTTCTTTTATATAACGTAAATTAGGGAGACTGCAAGTACGAATTAATATTAATATATGGTAGGACGACCATATCAATATATTTATAGCATGTGACATTTTTTAAATTTCACGTTTTATTTTGTTGTTATTTCTTTTCGATAGCTAAAAACCCATCCACATTCATATGGCTTTTTTTTTAACAAAATTCAAAAGTATACAACTCATTATATGATATTTAATGTGATATTATTTTCTTATTAGAAAATTAGCACGCTTCTATATTTGAAAACAACTTAACTTTAAGTTTTGTATTTTAATTAAGTTTTTATAAACACCTAAATATTATTTCATATTTAAAACCACAAGCTTCAGAAGTCTTATAGCCAAACAAATAGTATGATATGCTTAAGATTACAAAAGACAAATTTTCATAGCAAAACAAATATTATACATATTTAAACATACAAGTTTCAAAATTTTATAGCCACATAAATAATACTGTTTAGAACCATATATTATATAATTTTAAAATTTATTCTTTCTTAAATTCTGTGCTGAATCAAATTAAGGCATATAAATTAGAACTGAGAGTACCTTGTTGTGTTGTTTCTCTTTGTTTAAGGAATATTTAATAAATGTGAAAAAGGTGGCTTCATTTTTAACTAGAATATTATACATATGCACTTTCAACAATGGTGTTTTTGGTATTTATAAACTAAGGAAGTAGTTTATTGATCATTTTCTGGTGTTTTAGGTTGTAAGTTAGGTAGTTTATACTAGGAGTAAAATAATATTGGGAATGTGAAAAGGGAGTAGTAATGTGCTGGTTGAAATAATTAAGTGATATGCATTAATAATTAAATATATACGCAGAGGAAAATAACTAATTACGTTTATCAATGACGCAAGTGATTAAAAATGGCGCAAGTCATTTTTCTTCATTTGATTTAAAAATTTGACGTTTAAGAAAACAATTACTCGCAAAAACAGTGTCAAATAATTTTACCAACAAGTATGTTTTAGAAAAATAATATACCTACAAACACACCAACATTCTATTTAGAACTAAAGTTAGATCTAAACCCTATGAACTATTAATCGTTCTTCATCTTTCTTTCTTTCTTTTTTTTTTTTTTTTTGTGTGTGTGCGGCGTAGGCGCTCCGGTTATTGTTTTTCCTCGGCTTTTTTCCATTCAATTTTTCTCTTTTTCTTATTTTCTTCCTTTTTTGGGTGGGTAGGTGGGGGGTTGGGGTTGGGGGGTGGGGTGGGGTGTCTATTTGTTAGGTTGTTTTCCTTTCTTGGGATGTCTTAGATGTCCCAAGTATTTTTCTGTTTTGAGGGTTTCATTTGATGGTTAACTGCGAGTAGTACATAGGAGATAGGACAATATATGGATATACAAGCAGGATATAAAATTCATTATAAATCTTCTATGTGAAGTTCACTATTTGAAGGAAATTTCAGAAACACATTACTTAATGATAGTGCCAATTGGATGCACATTCAAGCTTACCTTAAACAAGGATCAAAATCAGAGAAATTTAAATTTTCCAGCTAGGGGTGTACATGGACCGGGTTAGTTCGGCTTTTATTAAAACAAAACCAAAAATCAACTATATCGGTTTGGATTGGTTCGGTTTTGTCGGGTTTCGGATTTTTCGGGTTTTTATGAATATTATTTCAATCTTACTTTGTTAAATTTTTGATAAGTAAATATATATTTAGTAAAAATTGAAAAAATGACAAACATATGATCTATTAACATATTCTTATGGGAGAATTTTCTTAGTAACATATGATAGTTATTCGTTTGGTCGTCTGACAATAGTTTTTCGTTGATGTACACTTTTAAGGTTAACTAAATTTAATAATTAAACACAAAATCAATAAGCTGCATATATAATGATATGTTCTATTTAATTTTAAATTATCAAAATACCACTTTTAATTAGAAAAAAATAAAAGAATTTAATAGATATCTTGACATATGAATATGGAAGGAAGAGATTGATGCATTTCACTAACATTTGATAAGAAAGTGATCATACAACCCATTATTTAAAGATAAATAAAAATAGAGCACTTCATATTTAACTAAATATTACATCACATAAGAGAATCGCAAATAAAAAGTCTTAAAAGTATATATAAAAATTATATATTTATATGTCGGTTTGGTTCGGAATTTTTTACTTAATACCAAACCAAGTTTTAAAAGTGTAATAATGGATCATTGACAATCATGTTGTGCAATGACAATCAAGAAAATGGCCTGTGACTCGTGAACTGAAACCCAAATATTATGGTTTTCATTTAGCAACAACTTAATCTGTCGCATCATTTCAACTAGTCGAAGAAATATGTTACAAAAGGAGCTTAAGCTTTCATACATGCATAACAGATATTAGTAATTCACAGACTCACATTGCACCATAGCAGGAAGTACATCGTTCGTTATGCTAGCCTTTATTGTCTTACAGGTCCGCGGCTAGTGCTGCTGCATAGAGAATGAAATCCTCATCATCGCTATCTGAATCGTCAGATAGTGACTGTGACTACAGTGATTCCACATACTCCCTTTTCCACTGAAGATATTCCTTGATGCAGTCAATGATCTTTGCTGTCAGAAACTCGGGACTTACTGGACCAACTGGATGGATTGCCAAAGGCACAAATATTTTTGAACATTTCATTCAATTCGTTAAAATGTTTTAGGCCATGATATCTGAACTTCTTGTGATCACTGAATCTCTGTAAACGAAATACAACCAATTAGTCCAACAAGCCGGTTGGAAACTGTACTTGCTAGAACACAAACAGAAAATGCAGGTCAGGCTCAACTACCAACAGGGGATTCTGCCAAAATTACTCACATATGGGATTGTCAATTATCAGGAGCTATGCGGTGGAGCTCGGATTTTGAGAGTCAAATCACAAGATAGGCGTAAGGTCTATGTACACACTACATTCCGCGGACCCCACTTATGGGATTATGCATTGATGGATATGTTGTTGTTGTTGTTGTTGTAAACTTCTTAATTTTGACCGTAAATTCGGATATAGAATCTTTAAGTTTTTTGAAATAAAATTTATATATATGAAAACTATGTAAAAAGTACAATAAGTCACAATAATTAACAATAAAAGTATCTAAAAGGCATATAAAAAATCGCGGTCAAAGAAAACTCGTTTGACTCTCGAAATCCGAAGTTCGCCACATAAATTGGGATGGAGGGAATAATAGGAACTTACCTCCACATGATTCGCCCAAACATCATTAGGAACAATCACTTTGTTAGTTTCTTGATTCCATCTTGTTATTTGTGGCTTGAATTATTTCCTTGTATTTTTAGGAAACCCATAAACCTATAGTCCTTGTCAAATTGGGAAACCTTTCTCATATATGTTTGGGACCTTTTGGGATCTATATACAGGGGTTGTAGTTAGGGATTCTAGAGATTGTATTGTGTTTTTCTTCTCATTCATAGTAGAAAACTCTCTTTGTTTTTGCCCCGAGGATTAGGCTTAGCCGAACCTCGTTAAATCCTTGTGTTGATTTTTCTTCTCTATTTGCTTTGTGTGTGGTTGTGTGCTAGTTAACCCACGATATTCCGCAACAATTGGTATCAGAGCAAGGTTCGGGTTTCAACATATAATCTAGGGTTAAGATGTCTTCACCATCTTCAACAAAGTACGAAGTAGAGAAATTTGACGGAGGCTCTAGTTTCAGTCTATGGAAGATTAGGATGAAATAGTCCCTGGTGTTACAAGGATTATGGAAAGCAATTGATGAGGATTTTCCTGAAGATATGAAAGAGACAAAGAAGGAAGACTTGAAGGAGAGGGCTTTGAGTGCGATCTTCATGAGCGTTATAGATAGCGTTCTTCGGAAAATTGCTGAAGAAACTTCTGCAGCAACGGCATGGAAGAAGTTGGAAGATCTGTATTCTAAGAAATTGCTGTCAAACCGCCTTTACCTGAAAAAGAGGTTATACAATCTCCGTATAAACGAAGGTACACCTGTTAAAACTTACCTTGATGAGTTTAATTCAATTATAATGGACCTGAAGAATGTGGATATCAAAATTGAGAGTGAGGATCAGGCCTTGATTGTGTTATGTTCTTTACCACAGTCTTATGATACTTTTGCCGATACACTGCTATATGGGAAAGACAGCATTTCACTAGAAGATGTTAGTAATGCACTAAAATCTAAAGAGTTGAAAAAGAGCTTTTCAGAGAATTGAGGGCGAGGGTCTTGTGATTAGAGGAAGAACACAACAAAAACAGGAAAAAGTTAACCGCAAGATCAAAGTCTAGAGCAAGGAAGCAACACTGTTATGAGTGCGGGGAGCAAGGTCACTACAAGAGAGATTGTCCTTAGCTGAAGGAGAAAAGAGGAAAGCAGAAAATAGATAATTCGGCAAATATTATTGACACTGGCAATAATTCTGATGATAGTGACTATGTAGGGGAAGTTTGTGTTGTGAGTTCTAGTCATGGGCAAAATTCTTGGGTTCTTGATTCTGGTGCTACTTTCCACATGTGTCCACACAAGAATTGGTTTGCAACTTACAAACAAATGAGTGGGACTGTCTATATAGGAGATGATAATCCATTACCAGTAGAGGGGGTTGGTAACATCAAATTGAGAATGTTCGACGGAATTATCAGAAACATTGAGTGTTGGCATGTTCCTCGGATAAAGAGAAATTTGATTTCTCTTTCGACTTTGGATGATCAAGGGTATAAATTTCACTCGGAGAATGGAATACTTAAAGTGTGTAAAGGCTTCATGGTACTCATGAAGGGTAAACTACATTCAAAATTGTATCATCTTCAAGCCAGTGTAGTTGAGGAAGCTGCTGTAGCTTCTGGGAAAAGTGATCTGAATCAGTCTCAGTTGTGGCACTTGCGACTTGGCCATATGAGTGATAATGGATTGTCTTTGTTGAGTAAGCAGAATTTGCTGAATGGGTACAAAAAATCAAGTTTCGAATTTTTGTGAGCATTGTGTGTTTGGTAAACAGACAAGGGTAAAGTTCATCAAGAAGGCCGAGCACAAGACCAGAGACAAGTTAGATTATATACACTCTGACTTGTGGGGTCCAAACAGAGTTCCCTCCAAGAGTGGTGCCAGGTATTTTATGACTTTGATTGGTGATTACTCAAGGATTGTGTGGGTGTATTTTCTGAAAACAAAAGATGAGGCATTTTCGACATTTGTTAAATGGAAGACGATGGTTGAGAGACAGACGGAAAGAAAAGTTAAGCGTCTTCGAACTGACAATGGGTTGGAATTTTTCAATTCTGAGTTCGATAATTTCTGCAGCATGGAGGGCATAGTGAGACACCGCACTTGTGTCGGAACACCACAACAAAATGGTGTTGCAGAACGTATGAATAGAACACTTTGTGATAGGGCACGAAGCATGCTTTCACACTCATGTGTTAGCAAAGATTTTTAGGCTGAAGCAATCAATACAGCTTGTTATTTGGTCAATAGATCTCCATCCACAGCTATTGAGTTCAAAACTCCTTTTGAGGTATGGTCCGGTTTGCCTGCTGATTATTAAAATTTAAGGATATTTGGTTGTCCTGCTTATGCTCATGTGAGGGATGGAAAACTTGAGCCGAGGGCAAAGAAGTGCATATTTCTAGGGTATGTAACTGGAGTGAAAGGTTATAGGTTGTGGTGCACAGATAAAAAGACTCCAGGGCTAATTATCAGTAGGTATGTAACATTCAATGAATCTGCCTCACTGGATAGTCAGAGGGAGAAGGCAATAGCAGAAACAGATCGTGGTGTCAGTGACCGCATAGAGCTAGAAATTGAATCTCCACTAGCTCAGCCCAGTAGTTCTAAAGTAGAGGAAATGGAGGAGGTGCAAAATATTGATCAAGACGATAATGTTGATGCACCTGCGCAACAACCCTATAGCATTGCAACAGGCAGAGAGAAGAGAGTGATCAACCGACCGCAAAGGTTTGCAAACGTAGTTGATGGGAATCTTCTTGGATATACGAATCCTATGGGATTTGCTTTGGCAGTTGCAGAGAGCGTTGATGCGTTTGAGTGTTATAGCTATCCAGAAACTATTCCGAGTATAGAACCAAATCGACGGATTAGTGCTATGGCTGAAGAGATTAAGTCTCTTAACAAGTTTAGGCGTTGCCTAGACTTGGTTGATGCGTGTGGCAATCAATATAGCCCTTGGAGGGCTGAGGGCAAGGTAGAGAGACGTTCCTGTTGATGAAGAGAATTCAAGCCAAGGGGAAGATTTGTTATTTGTGGCTTGAATTATTTCCTTGTATTTTTAGGAAACCCATAGTCCCTATAGGTTTAGGAAAACCCATTGTCCTAATAGATTTGGGAAAGGAAGACCTATAGTCCTTGTCAAATTGGGAAACCTTTCTCATATATGTTTGGGACCTTTTGGGATCTATATATAGGGGTTGTAGTTGGGAATTCTAGAGATTGTATTGTGCTTTTCTTCTCATTCATAGTGGAAAACTCTCTTTGCTTTTGCCCCGAGGATTAGGCTTAGCCGAACCTCGTTAAATCCTTGTGTTGATTTTTCTTCTCTATTTGCTTTGTGTGTGATTGTGTGCTAGTTAACCCACGATATTCCGCAACACATCTATATCCGGAGCATGTTGCAAGTAGTTCCTTGAAATCCTTCCAATTCTTTTTAAGCCTGTGATATTTCTGTTTGATGCATTGCTCGTCATACCTTTCGCGCTTGCCAGTTCTAGCCCAAAACTCGTCAATAATGTCTCTCCAACGTTTTGCAGCAATGATATAAGACTTGAACTCATGTTTCTTCATATTCTCATGTAAAATGTCAATGAGGACCAGCTCGTCTCCTCCAACCATCGTTCAGCGTTTCCACCACGTGGCCTTTTCTGAGTACGCAAAGGAAGAACCAATTATTGATGCATATTTCCAAAAGGTAGAAGCAAAACAAACATCCAACTCTAATAAGTTATGAGAACCAGTCAAGAGAAAGAACATGATTATATGTTACCCTGTTAACCGGTGCAGGCGCAGTCACAGAATTCTCATCGGAAATCTCAACTGTAGCTTCATGTGCTGCATGCATTCCAGCACAAAATAAAGCAAAACACATTAATTGCAACAAACACATGGAAAAGAAAAACTATTAAAGAACACTGTCAAAGCCAATTGTGATATGATAAAGGATGTGAAAGGGTTCGGAAGGTGTTATATGATAGTGTATACAATCTTCTTTTTTGATTAAGTACTAGCAGATACAATTATATAAAATATCCTGATGAAGATCCGATTATGTAAATATATAGAGAGCTTTTGACGATCGAACAGCAAAGGAAAACTAGACATATATAAACAAAATAAATGATGGCTTTCCAGAGCTTTTGACGATCGAACAGCAAAGGAGAACTAGACATATATAAACAAAATAAATGATGGCTTTCCATTGGCAGCACTTAAAGTTGTGCAAGCAGGAAGAACAGTAATAAGAGAGATGGATATGATGCAAAAATTAAGAGAGCCAGAAACATACAAAGAGTTTTGACATGAATCAACTCGAACTATTTAGTGCAAAAGCCAACAAAAGTTAAAAGGGATATCTCTTCCAACAAATAAATAAGATGAATTGAATCCAAATACTGGAGAATAAACGATATAAATGTGGAGAGACACTATCAACATTCTAGACTCTAAACAGCATCGATGAGATAACATTCGTTTGTATGTGAAGCGCATCTGTTTCTAACATAGAAGTAATCAATCTTAATAATTGTAAGCCCCATGATAGGCTGAAAATGGCTATCTAGAACCAGACCACACGAGTCCCTGAGTTAGGGCAGGAAAAATTAGTCCACTATACTGAAATACAAGTAGAATTTGAGAAGGCAAGTGCAACCATGTGCACCTCAACACACAGTAACAAACATTTTTATTTTAGAATGCAGGGTAGAACTTCACATATATGAAAATGTAGGCGTTGGCTCCTCTTCTTCATCATCTTCTGAATCTGCAAAGGGTACTTCATCGCCTGACTCATTCGCGCTGTTGGGTAGTCACTGTCATATTCTTCACTCTGTCCATCTGTAATATCCTTGTTCAGATGTTCGGACAACTGTGTTAATACAGGATATTTGTGGAGGTCTTCAACTTACGGTATTGTCCACAATGGCAAACATCAGGTTCTGTGGATGTTATTGAACTTTGGGACGCCAGCGACATAACTAATCTAAAAGAGGAAACTAAATAAGAGAGAAAAATGGAAGAGAAGTTGAAGAATATATGCAGAATGATCTGCCTCAAACATTACCAAACGTTCATTAAGCTGAAACGTTTGGCTAATATAGCGCATGCTTACCATGCGCTATATGTAATTTGGTTCCTTTTTTTCACATTACTATAGTTCTTTAAGAGTTTTTAAGCGTTACTTTGGATCTGGATTCCACAAAAAGTAGCTTGTTAAAAGGGAAAAGACAGGGTTTTACTGTCTCAATAAGTATTAAAAGAATAAAGAAAAAGGAAAGACCAAAATGAGAAAGAGGTAATTTGCCCAAGGCTTTGGTCTAGTGGCAAGAGTTCAGTGGGTGATTTATGGATGAGGCCCACATCACGGATTCGGACCCTGCCCATCTTAGTATTTAACTGGAGAAGAGTAGAGTTGCGGGCTTTTCTTTTTTTTATGATGGTGGTGTCCATGCCAACTCGCACGCACCTCGACAATTCCCCGGATGTCAACTACCTCCCACCAGCATAGGTAACGATAACTCTGTCCGCCAAGTCTTAGGCAGATGATCTGCACTGAAATTTGAAGGTCTCAGTTATCTCTGCACTTCATTGACCACTAGGTCACACCTCGAATGTATAGAGGGGCGAGCTTACTATCATATTGAGTTTCAAATTGTGAGTCGCCGTCCTCGAAATTTCTGGATTATCGAGAGAAGAAGACGACATAATTGGTCTTATGTTCCCTAAAGACTAAACTCCTAGACTTTTATCCCTTAAACCCCGAGTAGGTTGCACCAAAATTAAGTGAATAGTCACACAAAGCTCAATTACTAAACTAAATTTCAAAAGAATGTGCTTTGAGAAATACCCAGTAACAGAGAAAGCAATAATGCCTAATACAGATTCAAAACTAATTAAAGGGAAACAGAGAAAAGGGGTAGAATTTCAGAGTAGAAAGGGGTTTTAACTTACTTTGAAGCTTCTTGCCCATGCACCTGAGAAACAAAATTAAACAAAAAATATAGAAAAAACTGCAGAGGGTAAAGGAATAAGAACTGAAGCTAGAATGAAATAAACTAAAAAAGAAAAATACAAACGTTTTGAGACCCGGAGGATGGCTCATCTTTTTTAGCTTAAGTTTAGCAGAGGGAAAGAGAAGGAAATTTTATTTTCAAAAGAGGGAAAACCAGCAGCTGAACCGACCGTGTTGATATTACTAACATGTTTAGTGTTTGTAAATTGGGTCTTATCAACAGAATTTCAAATTAGTGAATAGTCTAGAAGGATTCCAAATTAAGTACAAAATTAAAAATAATTTGGCTTGGCTCAAAAAAAATGTAACAAGTTTTGCATATAATATTTTGTTTTCCATATAGAACTCCACAAGAGAAAACAGCTTTGTGACCAATTATAAATGTTATTCCTTCCTATCATTTTATTTGGCTTTATTTCTTTATTAGTTCGTTTAAAAAATAATGATGCTTTTAAATATTTTCTTAATAATTTTTTTTATAACCGTACAAATGCTACAACATATTTAAAATAAAAAAAAATTCAAAAGTTTATAACCACACAAATGTTATGGCATATTTATGAATATAAATTTTGAAAGTCTTCTTTTTATTTTATTTAAACTTTGTGTTGAGGCAAACTACGATTAACAAAGTGAAAAGCCTTTTCATAAAAGATCGGTAAAATATAGCCGAATAGATCGGTAAATACAACATCGAAAAGCTTTGTACGGTCATTTTTTTTCAATTTAAATTGTACTCTCTCCGTTTCCATTTAGTTGTCTTGTTTTGCTTCTAGAGAGCCGCTACATAAATTTTGATCAATATTTTAACATGTATTAATTCCAATATTGATAGGAGAATAATTGCAAATGTTACGCCCCGCAGTATTACGATGATGTTACGCTCCGCAGTATTATATTACGATAATGTTACGCTCCGCAGTATTATATTACGACGATGTTACACCCTGTAGTATTGTACGATGAATTTATCGTAAGATAATTGACATCAGTTCAAGGACAAGATTATTTGGAGATTATAAGTATTATGCTATTTTAAGCAAGTGATAAATAAGTTCCTGAAGGTGAGAGGGTAAGCGAATTGAAAAAAATGACGTTGGTCGAAGTTTGACATTTGGAGATAAAATACGGTTCAAGCTATAATACCCCACATTTATCGACTAGTGTCATACAAAATAACACATGACCATGATAGTGAGGGCTATAAAGTGTATTAAAAATAAGTAGTATTTTAAATAATTTGAAATAATTCTTAATTATGTGGATAATTGGATAATTATGAATTTTTAAATGGGAGATTAACTTGTAATTGAATTTTGTAGATAATTATTTAAGTAAAAATTTGGATAATTGTTGGGGGGACAATAATCCACGTGGGATCATGAAGGTTTGGCAGAAAATTGCCAACAATATCATGCCAAGGAGGTGGTGGCACTACTTACATCTATATCTCATTTTTGGGTGGAAAAATGCTATTAAGGAAGCCTTTCTAAATTCACAAAGTGAAAGAGCCTTATTACTTTGTGAAATTTCAGCAAACATACAGATGAAGCATCAACAAAAAGGCATACACAAGTTTATGATCAAATTTACTAAGTGAGATAGATTGGCAACGTGATTTCGCTTCTACAAAATTTCTTACGAAGTTATATTGCGTAATAGCAACGGTATTTGCAATTCTAAGAGAACACGGTGCATTCTTCCTCAAGAATATCACACGGATTTTTTACTACTTCAATCTCGTCGTTACGTGTTTTATCGCAATTGACGTGTGTTAGAGGGATTGTCAAGAGAATCGGCTCAGGTATGTTAAGGCTAATCCTTCCTTCTTTTGGCATGATCCAAGTAACGATACGTAAACGTAATGTTATTCCATAAGTGGTTCTAAGGATGCCTATGTTATTCATTCCTGTAAAGTGATATTCAAGCATGTCTAAGTATGTCCCCAAGTCCCTATTGAGGTATATGATATAGATGTTAATGTTTATAATATAGTGATACATGCATCTTCATGCATTTACCACCATGCTACGGCCGGTCGGGCAGTACCACCGGTTGGGCAGTAATGTATCATTATTTACCACCGGTTGGGCAGTCATGCATATTTATTTACCACCGAGCTACGGTCGATCGGGCAGTCATGCATTTACTATCGAGCTACGGTCGGTTAGGCAGTTACACATTTACTACCAAGCTATGGCCGGTCGGGCAGTCATGCATTTACCACCGCGCTACGGCCGGTCGGGCAATTACCACTGATCAGTTAGGCAGTCATGCATCATAAGCTATGGATAATAGTCTCGAAGAGAAGCATTATATATATGTAAGTATAATAAGTATGCATATACAGTGGCACTTCAGAGATTTAGGTTGATTCTTATATGTCTTTAGTTAATGTTTGACTTATTGTTATATTTCAGTTTCGCCTTACATACTCGGTACATTATTCGTATTGACGTCCTTTTGTTGGGGACGCTGCATTCATGCCTGCAGGTATAGATAATCAGTTTGACGAGCCCTCATAGTAGACGAGATTGGCATTGAGCGAAGGATCGGTAAGACTCCACCTCATTCGGAGTGCAGCCGAGTCTATGAGTCATCGTATCAGAGTTTTGCTACAGACTTAGGGGTAGGCCGGTACCCTGTCCCATTTAATGTCAAATAATCTTAGAGGCTTTGTAGACAGAGGTTCATTTTGTACAGTATGTCAGAGGCCTTGACGGTCCACATGTATTCATGTTTTAAGAACGATGGTTCTTATAATAGTTGTGGCCCACTTATAGTTATACATTACGAGTTGTGGTCATGTTGGCCCATGATAGTTACAAAAAAAAGAGTTACAGAGTGGTTCGCTCAGGCCAGTACGACACCGAGTTCCAGCCACGCCTCCCAGGTTTGGAGCATGACAGCAAATTATAGTAATTTTTATATAGTTTTCAAATATCTAAACTTAAATTTAAAAATATTGAGAAAATTTAATTTAATTTAACTTAAAATTCGTCAAATTGACTCTCGCGAAGTGAAACATGACAAGTGAGAGAGAACAGAAAGAGTGTTGGATAACTAGGTATAGATTTTGATTTTCGGAATTTCTGCTGAAGTGGCAATTTATATTTTCGGGGTAATAATAATTGAACAATAGTGAGTTTACGCACAAAACTCTATCATATGAGTTTGCACACATTTAACAATCTCAAATTCAAGTAAAGCACAATAAATCAACAATGAATGTAAAATTAATTCATCTATGATGAGTCATTACAATTGTAACGACCTGAGCGGTCGTTTTGAGCATTTGCACTTTGCTCGGTAGTTTGAGGGCATGAGTAGCTCTGTATGATATGACTTGCGGAAATCGTTGGTTTTAGTTTTCGGGTTATTCGGAATCGATTTGGAAGAATGAATTTCATTGTTGAAGCTTTAAGTTGGAATAGTTGATCAAGTTAGCATTTGAGCTCGGATTGGAGTTTTGATGGTTCCGTTAGGTCTGGATGGTGATTTTGGACTCGGTCGTATACCCAGATTTGTAATTGGATATTTGTAGAAGGACTTGGCACCAATTGGCGACAGTTGGAAATTTGAAGGTTTGAAAAGTTCATAAGTTTGACCGGAAGTTGACTTTGAGGATATCAGATTCGGATTGGGGATCCGGAAATTGGAATAGCTTCATTATGTCATTTGGGACTTGTATGCAAAATTTGAGTTCATTCCGGGTTGATTTGAGATGTTTCGGCGCGAGTTTTGGAAGTTGAAAGTCCAAAGTTCAGTTAAGTTCGAATTGAGGTACGATTCGTTGTTTTGATGGTGTTATGTGTGATTAGAGGCCTCGAGTAAGTCCATGTTATATTATGGGACTTTTTCGTATGTTCGGACAGGGCCCCGAGGGGATCGGGTGAGTTTCGAATAGGTTTGGGTTGTGTTGCGCTCGTTTTTTAATGTTTCGACGTCGTTTCTTCAAGCATAAATAGTACCACATTAAGCAAATGAGCTCCAATTTTTGTTTTGATTGAAGCATTAGGTCCGTATCATAATTTTGAAACTATAGCAACTGGAGTCATCAAGTTTCGACATCGTATGAGGAATTTATGATCATTTTACTAAGAATTGGGTTGCCAGAATTTTCAGATTAATTACGAAATTGTCACTGAATTCGTATTTAAAAATCTGCACTATTTGCAAATATTAAAACCAACATATCTCCTTCATTATAAGGTCAAATAGAGTGATTCAAAAGCCTAACTTGACTGGAATATCGCAAAAAATCCATTGGAGTCATCAAAAGTGAGTTTCGAGATTGTTTTGCACGAGAAACGAGACAGAACAGTTGGACGGAAGCATATACATCAAGGGTTTGTTCATTTGGTCATATTTTGAGTTGGGGAGCTCGGATTTGGACGATTTTTGAAGTATTTCACTACATAGATTGGGGTAAGTGTTCTCTACTCATTTTTTATTATATTTCATGAATCTATCTTTGTTTTTGACAATTAGTTGATGATTTCAGAAGTAAAATTTGGGAGTTTTTGTCTAAAATTTCATAAAGCGAATATTTGAGCTTTGAACATCGGTTTGGAGTCAGATTTGAGGGAAACTAGTATGGTTGGACTCGTAATTGAATGGATTAACGGATTTTATAAGTTTCGTCGAGTTCCGAGGTATGGGTCTAGGTTGGACTTTTTGGTTGATTTTGGGCTTTTGAGTAAAGATTCGACATTTATCAATTGGAATTATTTCCTTAGACTTTAATTGATGTATTTGAGTTTCTTTTGGCTAGTTTCGAGCCGTTCGGTGGTCGGCACGCACGGGATGGTTTTTTTGGAGCATCGTTTGGCTTGCTCGGTGTTAGATTTGGCTTATTCGAGGTAAGTAACACTTCTAAACTTGGTACTGAGGGTATGAAACCCCGAATTACATGTTATGTGTTTGGTGTTGAGGTGACGCATATGCTATGTGACGGGCATGTGGGCGTGCACCGTGTTAATAGCGACTCTGTTATTTTTGTGGTACTATGTAGTTACCTGATCTTATATGTAACCATGAAATCTCTCCGTACTAAAGCTATTGAGTTGTGATTCATATTAGAAACCATGTCTAGGCTACACGCTTATTCTGTTGGGACCCACCGAGGTCATTTTTGTTGTTGAGTTATTTGCTTACAT